CCCCCTCCATTCCGGGAGCTGCTGCGCGATTCCCGCGGCCGCTCCTCCTTCCCACCGTCCCCGGAGAGCGTTAGCACTGGCCTGTATTCTGCAAATGAGTGCTCTTTGAATACTACCCGTTTGTTCCCTTCAGTTTTATCGCCTTACTAAAAATCCTTTTGCCTCCTAAAGGTTTTTAAAAATAAAATGAACAGTTCAATATTTAATTTAGAGGGTTCTACACAAAATCGTTGCGGTGACTTGAATAATTTGTACGCATAACCCAGCGCGCATCGGTGTGTCTCAGCCTCTAACTTAAGTACAAGATTATGATAACAACGAGGCAATGACTAAAACCAAACAAAATAATCCTGCATTAATGGAAAGGCTTTTACAGGTTAGCGCACTAGTAGCAAGATGTGCTCAAACATACTGCAGAAAGTATTCAGAGGAGGAGTGTGTTTTTATTGTTGAAGCGATCTGTACTAATTGCATGTTAGAACCGGAAGAGTCATCTCTTGGACTGATACGGTTCATCCAAGAGTGGCAGCTCTGCAAGGTATCTTCTTAAGTAAAAACAAGTGTATTTTTCATTAGCGTACTTCTAAAATGTAAAAACCAAGGCCTCTTTGGCTGTCATTTGCAGATGGGGGGAAAGCCTTACATTTTACTGCAGCAACATACTCAAAAAATGTTGCTGAAGACGGAGCTGACAGGAGCCCAGCATGTTCCAGGAGCTCAGAGCTGTGCGAGAAACTGTACCGGGAATTAAGGAAAATAGCAGTGAGAAGGAAAAAACAATTCTCCAGTAAATGGATAACCCTCTATTTCATTTCTCTTCAAGTAAAGATGGTCCTCATTAGCCCTACCGCATGCTACAGATTCTTGTAATTATCTGTTCTTTATTCCGAAAAGTGTTTTCCAAATATTTTCTTCAAAAGAGGAGCTTACTTTTATGCAGAAAATAACTTGTTAGTACATATATGCTGTTTAGATGCTTACGATAGAGATTGTGGAAGAAAATGGTGCAATGTGGGATTGATTATACTCCTGCGGACCATCCTCCGTGGTCCTCAGCCACTGCATCTCTGCTGTTCTTCAGCAAGTACCTGAGGGTTTGAGGGCAATGTTATTTAACGAGGTGTTATCTATTCCCACCTTTGCCTCGGACCTACTCTGTGACCTCAGGTGGGTAATATTATCCGTCTCCTTCCCTTCCCAGTCCTCCTCGGTCGCTCCAATTAGATTGTAAGGCTTCAAGGGCAGAAACTGTTTGGCGGTCTAACTGCGTCAGGCCCCGTTCTTGTCTGAGATCTCTAGGAGTTACTGCAACCCAAATCATAGCAGTAAGTTGATCAAACACATGTATTTTTGATCAACCGTGTATCAAAACTATAGCTACTGTTTCTCCTTGGCAATTTGTGCTGTATCTCAAATAGCTAGGAATATTAAGTAGAAGAACGGCTAACCTCTGGCACCCGGGACATGCAATGTTGTATTGATTTTTGCAACCCTAAATCAGCTCCACGTCTACAACAGTGAGTACAGTTTGTAGCACACTGAATCAACTTCTTTCTTAGATGGAGGGATTACAAGGCACAAGCAGGCTTTGCACCAAAATATTCACAATCAGCTGATAGATTCGTGTGTTAAAGTGAATCCTGCCAGGCTTCCTGAGGCTACTGACAGGGACCAAATGTTTTAGTTAACAGGCTTAACAGATGTATTACTCAAGAGATATTAAAGCAGTTTTTCTGATAGGGAGTATGAAAATAGATGGAAAATGATTTTTGCAAAGGTGAATGCTGTTTTTTTTTTATTTTTATTTAGTGCATTTCCATAGTGTAAGCCAGAAAAAGAGTGTGAGATTTTCCCACCAAAGCTTTTAACTCATAAGGCAAAATCATATCTTAAGCTGTGAATTGACCTCATGAAACTGGGCGTTTGGAGGCACTGAAAGTCACCCCTTCATCAGAGGGCCAGAAGAAAGCGCACATACCGTTTAAATCTTACTAATGCACGTACCATTTAAGTGATTCCCAGCTCTCGTATGGGTCTTCACGGAAGAAGCAGAGTGTCCCCCTGGTCAGAGTAATTCCTCCTGATGCAGTGCCATGCAGAGCTCGTCGGCAGCCATGGGCTGGAGCAGTGTAACGCCGAAAGAGGTGTGAGCGGTCCCCATTCATCCTAGCGGGCTATTACCTCGAGAGACGAGTTTTGAGCATTTAAATGTCACATAGTTTCAAGGCCTTCTTGCAAAAAACATCCTGTGAATGATAAAATTGTGACTGCTGCAATTTTGACAATGCAGCTTGATTGCCCTATTGCTTGCTCACTGTTGCTGAAATGCTTAATAATGACTATCTGCAGTGACAGTAATTCCTACATCAAATGTCTTACCTATCTGTACAGCCGCACATGGCAAAATATGCAGACACATCTTTATGAGCATTGGCCAGAAGAAAATGATGTGACACTGATGTGGTTTCAAAGAAATAAAAAGGCCTGCTGCCTCAGGCTTTCTTTCTTTTTTTTTTTTTTTCTGTATGGTACATATAAATCGAAGTAACAGAATTTTAAAATTTAAATAAAGTACAGGAAGGCATCTCACTGCTTAGTTTAGAAGAACATCTGTATCTCAAATGCCATATGTAGTTGCATTTGGTAAAGGTGTTGAGAGTTTTCTTGTTTGCTGGCTTCCTAATATTTGGGCCATTTAAAACTAGGCTAATTTCTCTTTCAGTGATAATATTCTTATCTTAATTCTGCTTCTTCAGGAAAGGAACATGGCTGACTCATGTGGCTTTGCAGAGGACTTTGGCAGGAGTCCTCTACCGACACAAATTAGGATGGTTTAAAGCAGGAAAACCCTCACCTTTCCTTCCCGTCCCTGCCCTATGCCTGAGATGGCAGCAGGAGACTGGGTTTGGACCTTGCCACCCCAGTTCATGACTTAGCACCCCAGTTCGAACAGCCAATATGTCCCTTTGAACTGAGGTCACCTGTGAGCTGATGGCGGTTGGAGCATCCCTTCTGCTGCCCCTGCCCTGGGACACCCACCTCAGGAAGAGGGCCTGAAAAAGTCCTAGATGTTGCAGCCTGGTTAGCCAGAAGACATCTCTTGGTGTCCCAATCCACAATTACCATGGCCATCTGAGGAAAATGATCTAGGGAGTTTGGCTATGGCACCTTCAATTGCTATGCTTCCTACTTTGCCTTATTTTCTAGGGTATATCCATCTCTGTGCCAAAAATCTTTCAAAGTTATTCGTGGATCTGGGAGGAGGGCAGACGGAGGGGAGAGAAGGGGGAATAGGTTAATAATACCATCTGCTTCGTTGCCTTTTGCAGAGGTGGTTCGACTTAGCCTGCCAGAAGAGCAGAAGATCAGCGTCACCACCGTAACGGTTGGTCTGAGCACCGTGCTGACGTGCAGCATCCGGGGAGCGCTGCGGCCCCCCATCATCTGGAAGCGCAACGGAGTCGTCCTCAACTTCCTCGATTTGGAAGACATCAATGTAAGACCTGAATTAGTCTTGTAATTTTCTTTTTAGAGTGCTGAATGTGACTTCATTTAACAGTTGATGGTTTTAAGGGAACAGTTTTATTTCATTATTATTATGGAATATGGAAGCTGGCATGATATGTTGTTTTTATATGAAAACATTTAAGGAACAAAAGTGAAGCAACATAAGCATCTGAGAGTACGGATACGAAGAATAGGGTATTACAGAATCACGACTCAGTGCAGTGATAACCCAGCAATTACTTAGCACTGATGCTTCATCCCTCATTGCTCGCTGAGTTTGGTGCAACCAGTGGTCCACAGGCAGCAACCCTGGAAACCCCAGTGGAAACGAGCTGTACAAAACATGTACTTCTCAGATATCTCATTCCCAGTACAACAGAATGGGTTCATCCAGAGTATGAAACACTACACCTATGATTGGCAATGAAATCTCTCCTGCATCTAAATCAAATAACGCATTTTTTTCAGTAGTCCTCCTATTTCACTTGCCCTTCAGCATAGTCTCATCTTATTCCTCAGCTACTGTTTTTGATGAGCAGTTTAAAATACAGGATTATTCAACAGGGAGTGGCCATACCCTTGAAGGAAGAAAGATGAATCTTTAACTCGCACTGCTGGTCTGATGTGTGAGTCATAGTTTGTGGTAAAGACAATACCTGAATAATGGCATAAACTTGCTCATTTATTTAATAACGTCTGATTATGGAGAGAGTGGAAAGTAGTGTACAGAAAATATGGTCTCTATTTCATTTCTCTTTGCATTAAAGTATGCAGTAAATCAGGTTTTATTTTAATTACACTACAGCAAGAGCTGATTTATATTTTTGTTCAGCTCTTGTTAATTTGATACCCACTCAGTTCAGAGTTGTTACAGTCAATAATATAGCTCCCTAAACTCTTGTGTATCCAGGATTGCTGAAATGTGAAAAATCTTTGTTCTACTCTTCTACATTAATACATGAAAATTACAGCGTATGGGATAGGAGTCTGCCCCGCAACTTAGCTTGTAACCGTTGACTGCCTCAATAGGAGAATTCTGTGCCCTGTATATAGGTGATTATTATAGGTGTTTATTGTATGCGCAAATTCAGTAATTGCACCCATCTAAACAGTCTCGCCTTTCACCGAAGCAAGTATTACCCTTTTTGAATACAATTCCTGTTGCCGTTTGGAACATGACATTGAAATGCAACATGAATCCCGCAAGCACCCTGCTCTAATGCTGGCATGGGAACATAAAGGTGCAATAACGAAGACGCGCTGGATTGCAGAGCTAGCCAGAAGCTGCGTACCTGAGCTGATTTCTTATCGACATCCTTCAGTGCCGTGGTGAGAATAATGACCTTTGGGTCACTGGTATAACAATACATGGAAACCTGCCCAGATGGGATGCTCAGAATCAGGCTTACACTGCTTCACTGTGGGAAGGTGGCATACCAAAGCATGCACATGGTTTAACCTAACAGCTCACTGCCTTTACAATCTCGTGCAAATATTCTTTTTAACAGATCTATTCCTTGACACAGATTGAGCATAGTAAAGATTACATTACAGATGGCAAAGCTTTTTATGTTCCTTATATATCACGGCCATCTGTATTCTGGTTACTTCAGGTGACACATTTTGGGGATGATGATCTTTACCTCTTTCGCTGTGAGCAGTCCGCAGGACTTCAGAGCTCGGATATATCCTCTCACTCCCCATCAGGGACGGGAACCTCTGTGTTTGAAGCGCTTGTTACTAGCAGGGGCAAAGGGATGGTCATTTGAAAGTGAGCTTATAACCGTGATTTCCATTCAGAAACACTGCACTAATTCCTGATCTCGGTGCAAAGAAGACTACAGCAACAAATTAAAAGTCTAACCTATTCCTTCACTGGGTAGAGCCATTCTTTTCATTTGGGTGAATCACAAGCTGAAAAAAATCCATACTCAGGAGATACTAGCCAGGTTAATCTGCAGTGCGAAAAGTTCACAGAACGTGCTTGTGTTTTGGGTTGATTCTGGTGAGCAAGATGGATGTACGAGCAGCATGTGCTTTGAGGTCTGCAGTGTGGAAATACGTGGAAACCCGCGCACCCAACTGCACAGCTTGGTTTGGGTGGCAACAGACAGTTCAAACTTTCAGCCTCTTGTAGGTACGCAAACTCGCATTAAACCTATTTAAAGGCATTGGTAGCAGGAAAGTAAAGGCAGTGTGCTTCTTAATATACTTGAAGTCAGTTAATTAAATTACTTCAGTTTTCTTTGTGTTTGCCTCAAGCAGAAACTCAATTGCATTTCTGCTTTTCACAATAACGTTAGCAATTTTGCTAATTGGAAGTGCAACAGGAGATTAATTGCACCTTTTTAACTTCAAGAAAATCCTCCCTGCTCCTGGCACAGCGGTAATCACATACAAACCTACAGGATATTCATGCACTTGGAAAAATCCTCATATTATATTTCAATTAAACTCTTTCTCTTCTAAATGCTAATGCTTGTGCAGGAAATCAAATGAAAATAGAAGCCCAGTTCTGAGGAAAAGACAGAGTCCTAAGAAGTCACGAGTGCAGAACAGCAAAGGCACCACAGAAGAGTCCTCTGCTGCTTTATTCTCCCCAGATTCGTGACAAAGGTGTTATGAGGCTGGATGTGTTCCAAACGCATCCTGGAAGGGGCAAAAACAGTCAGCAGAAACCTAGATAATCCTGAATTTACACAGAATTGAAAGCCTGAAGATTAATGTAAAGCCTGGTTGTTTATGTGCTTTACTTAAATCATTTCTATGCGGTATCTTGATTGGCAACAAAATAATAATCACTTTTCTTTGCTCTTTTAATCAGAAGCTTTCATAAGCAACATATTAAAAATTGTCTTATCTTATCTGTTAAGAAGTCTGTTAATGAATTGTCACATACTTATTACAAAAGAGCCGTCCTAATGACACATGTAATTAAATGATTTTTCTTGCAAACATTGAAGATTGCTCTTAGCATCAAAGTATTATTTTTCCATAAATTATCCATAAATATCATTTATCCATAATAAGCACCTTTGCCTCTATGCTTATAAAAAGCAATATCAACTTTTCTCATGAAGAAAACAACTACAGTGAAGTTGAAACCGATGAGATTGTGGTAATTATAAATGGATAAGTGAGCACAAATTGTGAATTGGTTAAAATATGTTATCCTTCAAAATAATATATTTTTGCCCCCCAGGAACGTTCAGTATGTTTTCCCAAATACGTAATTACGAAGGCGTTCCTCATTTTGGAGTTATAACAAACTCCTTATGGAATCAAAGGTATTGATACGGTATTTATAGCATATTGTTTTACATGCTTTTTCATCATCTCTACAGGAACATATGTGAATTTATAAACAAAATTTATAAAAGAAAGTTTATTCTTCAACAGCATGGTGAATACATATGCAAACAACAGAAGAGAGAATATAAGCCTAACACAACAAATGTGACAGAACGCAAGTGGATGAGAATGTGGTGGCTTACCAAGTATAACATGGGTAGCCAAAACATAAATTCATGACTGTCTTTCGTTATTGCTTTCACGTTAGGCTGTACAGTTTAGCTCAAGTCTGTGTCAGGCCGTTAGTTCCAAAGTATGCTTTCCATTGCACGTCGTTAAAACAGAGGTTTCTTCATTTCTGCTGATGCCAGTAGAATACAGTGTACTTGCTCTCTTAAAAAAAAATCTGATGCAGAGACGAATGCAAGACTCCACAGTCAATTCCCGCCTGGTGGAAGGCGCACCAGGGAGTTCCAGGCAGAGAAGCTCGAGTCCTTTGCACCTAGTTTATTGCTTGTCTTTTTATTGGTTTGAAGAAAAATCAATTATTACCTTAAAGAGCTTGTGCCCAGGAGTTAACAAAATGCAGCGTATCATTTGTTTCCTTTTGTCACTTGCGTATGTCAATTAGTTTATCTTGCAGAAAGTAAAGTCAGAAGTTTCTAGTGAGAAGTCCCATGTGCAAAGTACTTGAATAAACGTCTTGAATGCTGCTTTCCCAAACATCCCCTTTAACCAGCTTCACATATATTCAACTGTATATTGCAGTCATTATTACTTTTATCAACCAACTACTAAAAACAAATCCCTCATATTCCGTATTTATTTTTTTCTTAGCCTGTTGGACCGCATGCCGTGCTGGTTGAAACGCAGGTGGGTTGAAGCTGTGATTAGACAAGTTCAGGGTCAGGTGAGAAGCTGCTCGGCACGAGGACAAAATCACCGGTTCAGGAAATCACTGAGCTGTAGCTTAGTGCCCCACCGTGTCGACGGAGGCTCGCCCCATTCCCTTACTTTTTCTTTAAGCGTCTGCCGTTACCTCCTGGCAGAGAAAAGGAGCTGTGTTACAGAGACCTTTGCTGTCACCTTTGGCCATTCTCGTGTTTGTTAGTGCAACGTGAAAAAAGCAGTGGGCTCTGCTGTTGCAGGAATTCCTGCCGTTATCCGCGACCCCGGGACACTGGAGCTGCGCAGCCTTCGCTCGCAGGTCTAAGTCACTGCTCGGAAGGGAAGCAGTGATTCTCTTTTCCAGGCAGGTTTTCCTCCTCTGTGTCAGCACTTCGCTTCAGGAAGCATTACTGTTTTTCACTACAGTGGCCCTAATAACCGTTTCTGAGAGCAGCTCCAGAAATGGACCTTCAGAGCATCCCCTGCTTGAAGACTCAAATGAGTCACCAACATTTTTTTCTAGGTCAAGACTGAAGATGGGGTTCCAGGATGACAGGCAGAAAATTGAAGGAGTTGCACCATATAAATATGTGGGGGCACAGATCACTTGCTAAATCATTAATTGCTCATATTCCACATTCCTCTATGTGCATGGGAAAATTCATCACCTTGTCTCCTTATTTACATATTCATGTTAATGGCCATTTTCCATGTATAACTGTTGGAAACCAGAGCAAATAGCCTACTTTTAAAATACAAGTCACTTGGATTAGATTTTTTATTAGAACAGGCTGTATGTTGATGTTTTTA